AGTAGACTGTGCCAGTCAAGGAGGTCTGGAGCCAGGCCGAAGTGGAGACGAAACAAGTCATCCAGGTGACTGAAACAACGAATGGGGGTATGACCGATCTTACCGCTCACGAGGCCGCGGCGAGGACTGGTCTATAGCTGGTACTGGTAGTGCTTGCCACTCGCACCACCACCCCACGACACGTCGCGTGCACAACCACTGCTACCACTAGATATCAGCTGTGTTGGCACCGCAGGCCAAGTGTACGACGCAAGCCTAGCGACGCTGTTGTAGCTCATGCAGGAGGAAGTACCGCAGCTGGATGTGCTTCGATCTGCCCTCAATTCTAGGCTCCTGACACAGAAGGATCATGGCACTGTTGTCAGCGTACACAACCGGGGCAGAGCTAGGCCGCTCACCTAACTCGGTGAGCAAGAAGGTCAGCAAGCGGAGCTCCTGTGCCGCCACGGCACCGGCGTAAATCTCAGCCTCACAGTTAGACAGGGCAACAGACAAGGAACGAGTGGACCTCCACGAGATGGCACCTGCACCAAGGCTAAAGCAGTAGCTCTTGGAGGACATTAGAGTTTCGGCGCCGTCTGCCCAAGAAGCGTCTATCCTGATGTACTTGATATATAACGCAAAACCCACTTAGCTGCCGACCAGTGCTATGGTCGGTGTCTGACGGTGGCCACAAATCAAGCCAGGATGCTGAGAGGGTATACGAGATCTGGACGAGTGGCAAGTCATCAAGTACATGAGGCAACCCACCAGCTCTGCGTAGGGACCACTAGGCTCTACAGCCTCCTCCGTGACTGGAGCAGAGAGTCTGTGGTCTACAAGCAGAGGGGTGGGCTGTGCGGAAGCGAACTGAAGGCCGAGCCTCTGAAGGACCTGGCGCACCAAGTGTGACTGTGAGAGAGCGATGGTGTGCGCTGCTCTGTCCCTGGAGATCTGCAAGCCAAGGTAGCGGCGCAGCTCTCTTAGGTCAGTGCAGGTGTGTCTCTTCAGCAGCTCGGCCTTTGCGGAGGCCTGCGCGTCTCTGTCTGCAGTAGCAAAGACCAGGTCGTCTACTGCAGACAACCTGGTCTTTGCTACTGCAGACAGAGACGAAGGGAAGAGCTGCAGGTCAGCAAGTGTAGCGCGCAGCGTGTCGTGCCACTCACGGGGCGCCTGTTGCAAGCCGTAGACGGGGCCCCGGAGGAGCCACTCCGGTACCAGGGGGAAAGGTACCGGAGAAGCCCTGGGGGCGGCGCAGGTAGACCTGCTCGTGTAGACTGCCCTGGAGGAAAGCTATGGAGAATTCGAGGGAGTGCAGCTCGTAGTCACGCTGTGCTGCTACGTGTAGTAGTGCCCGAAGAGTAGTCATCTTCGGGGTCGGGGCGAAGGTCTGAAAGAAGTCCACCCCCTCACACTGATTGAAGCCTCAAGCAACATAGCACGCCTTGAAGACAGGCAGCTCTTCGGGAGGGCGCTTCACCTTGAAGAGCCATCGGCCATCGACTACGTTCACCCCAGGTGGTGGAACTGGGTCGACGAAGGTACCGGTGGATCTCCAAGATGCCATCTCCTGCTCCATGGAAGCTATCCACTGAGAGGCCCAGGGTCCGAGGTGGCCTCAGCTAAGGTGCAAGGGGTCGGGATGTCAAGGGCGCCAGGGTCACCCTCAGGGACTAGCAGCATGGAACAGAGATGGGGAGCGGCCTCAGACTGGACGAACAGCTTGTCCTCTAGGACGTCACTGCCAAAGGCAGCCACACCCCCGACAGACTGAGGACAGGCAGGGCCAGAGACCAGAGCAATGGTGTAGTCAAGGCGGTGGGTTGCGGCGAAGTCAGTGACAGCAGCAACAAGAGCCGACAGACTCGAGACTGGAACGGACGGGTTGGCAAGAAGAGAGAGGCAATGACACGAGGAACAAGGGGATGAGCAACATGGAGGAAGTCAGAGAACGAGGCGGGGCCACAGCAAGCGACGACGGAGGAGGAGACGGGAGGAGCGGAGGAGCATGAGACGCCTGGGAGCAAAGCAACATATGGTGAGACTGCTAAAGAGGGGAGGTAGGACGAGCATGAGACGGACGACGAGACCAGATGTGAGACGAAGGAGTCGGGTCAGGAGAGAGGGGAGGAGACACAGGAGGGGGAACCGAGCCGGAGAGGAGTCCGGAGGAGGAAACACTGGGCCGTAGACCGGCAGAGGAGGAGGCGGCAGCGACGGAGAAGGCACTAGCAGACGGCCAGGGGAAGGAAGACCGAGGAGGCGAATAGCGGACACCGACGGCGACTGCTACGACTGCTGCCCGACTCCAACACCAGAACCTCCAGCGACAACATGGCTCCCTCTGAGAAGCTTCATGCCAGCACCCCCAAAACCCGCTCCAGCACGCTCCCCAGCACCCTAGAACGCACAAACCCCAGCGGCGGTGACGACGGCAGCTGCGGCCACGTCGGCGACGGCAGCGGCGGAGGCGGCTGCGACGGGGACAGCAATGGCAGCGACGGGGACAGCAATGGCAGCGACGGGGGAGAAGTGACCAGGGCAGGGAGGGACTCCGCCGAGCCGCGGGAGTCAGCACACTCCTCGGCAGGGATGACCGATGGTAGGGGGGTGACGTGAGACACACCAGACGGGGCAGGGCAGGGAGGGGGAGGAGCAGGGCCGACTAGGGGAGGGGGGGGAACCAGGAACTGGGGGGAGTGACTAGGGGTCCACGGTGGGGAAAGCGGTGGTAGAAGGAAACGGACTCGTCAAAAGTGACGTCACGAGAGTGAAAGAAACGGTGAGATGGCGGGTGGAAAAAAGTGCCTGTCAGACGAGTCGAGGGGGAAACCTAGGAAGACACAGGGGACAGTGCGGGCAGTGAGCTTGTCCGTGCCAGAGGCACGAACGTGAGCAAGGCAGCCCCAGATGTGGAACGTAGACGCGTCACCAAGAGACCCAGTCCAGAGGAGGGTCAGCGAAACCTGCGGCCGTTGAGGGTGTGGCCAAAGGTTAAGCTGGTGGGCGGCGTAGCGAACGGCGAATGGCCACATAAAATGGGGTGCACCGGCATGGATCATGGAGACGTGACCGGCTAGGCAACGGGGCCGGCTAGGCGACGGGGCCAGCTTAGGCGATGAGGCCGGTTTAGGCGATGGGGCTGGCTGGGCGACGGGACCGGCTGGGCGACGGGGCCGGCTGGGCGACGGGGCCGGCTGGGCGACGGGGCCGGCTGGGCGACGGGGCTGGCGGGGAGACGGGGCCAGCTAGGCGCTCGGTGACGGGGGCCATTAGGGGACGGGCCAGCACGGGCGGGAGGGCGACAGGGCGGCTAGGACCTATGGCGGAAGAGCTGGTGGGCGGAGGGGACCTAACGTACTCATGATACCATATCAAAGTTAACGAATAATTTGAACAGTGGCATACAATGGAATATAACCTAGTGGGTTGTACTCTCTAAGGCACAACCCTGTGTAGTCTATAACAGCAAACAAGAATATGTTTGACAAGCGGGGCTCGACGGGGCCAGCGAGGCGTACGGTGCCAGCCGGGCGCACAGGGCCAGCGCGGCTCGACAGGGCCTAGCGGGGCGCAAAGGGGCCAACGCGGCGCTAAGGGGCAAGCGGGGCGCTAGGGGCTAGGGCGGAAGCGGGTGGGCGGAACTACCGTAATCCCCCGTATTTAACACCCGCCAAAATAGTCACTCCATGGGTGGTTAATACTGTTAGGATTAAGGACAGAGTCTAGGTGAACTTAGGAGCTAGAATTACTCAAAATATAAATCCGAAATTCTGGACAGAAAAGTCGTCTTCACAAGAAACGACGTCGACAAAACACTAGCCGTTGGAATGTCGCGAAACTTGGATATGTTGTAGCTCTTGATCTCAGCTACCGTTCCCAATTTGAATCACGTTGATTGATGAAGTATTCGCGACGCTATGGCTTTCGACGCACTGAGGGGGTAAGCTGTAGGAGGAGAACTTAACTCAATCTCAAGAGTTCAATCAAAGTTCAAGATCTCACAAGGAATTAGAAGGAGCAAGAGAAAGGTTGGGATAGAAAGAGAGGGACGAGAGGGAAGGTCCCAAGAGAGTCCCCAACCAAGGAAACCCCATAAGCACAAAGATTCCCTCCCTATAGGAACCTCAACTTTGACCTTTGTCCCTTCCCAACCAATCCATCCAAGTTGGCCACCCTTGCCAACCTAGCTTGGTTGTTCCCAACCAATTTGCAGCTGTTACAGTAGAGTGACAAGTTTCCCCAACCCCAAAGGTCCCAACTCCATATAAAGTCACCCCACAACTTCACTTTGTAACCGCCGCAATTGTAACGCAAGCTCATGAACTTTGAATCTTCATAGCTTTCGCGTTCTTGCTCCGATTGACGCGATTCTTGTTGCGTCGGAAAGATCTTCTCAAGATCTATCATCACAAATACCTGCTCAGACAAAAATAACACAAAACACATTCCCAAACTCCAGAACACACCACACACAAATGCTTGCACATTCAAACCACACATGCAAGTTGAAAAAACATGGGATGGGAGGCAGACAGAATGTGATAGCATATGATGACATCACACAACAATCTCCCCCTCTGGCTGCCAACCATCATCGACCATACCACATCTCAAGCATGCATACTCAATGCACACTCATCCCAGCAAGCTTCATGCCCTTCCAATGATCCGCCTCCGCCAGACGCTTAGTGAAAATATCTGCTGCCTGCTGATGGGTCTTCACTATCTCCAGCCGCACCTCCTTATCAAGGATTCTCCTCACCCAATGCCACTTAGGCCTTATGTGTTTTGTCAGCCCATGCAGACAAGCATTCTTGGCGAGCTTCACAGCGGACTCATTGTCACAAAACACAACTGTCGGCTTCTCCTGACCAACTCCCAACTCCTCCAACAAACGCCTTAGCCACACTACTTCCTTGGCCCCATGGTGTAAGGCCATGTACTCAGTCTCACATGAGGACAATCCCACCTCATTCTGCTTCTTGCTGCGCCAGCTCACAGCACCACCTCCTAGCAAGCACACATAACCCCCAATGCTGGTGCCATCCGCTTTCACTGAGTTGAAGCTAGCGTCAGTATAGCAACTCAAGAGCATCTCTCCACTCTTCACATCTCTTGACACTGTCAGCTTCTGGGTGGTCAGGTCCCATAGCAGCCACCCCTTGTGATCCTTTGCAATCCCCAAGTGCACACCCCATCTTCCAGAAGCCTCCAACTTCCCCCTTTTCTCCTTGGGCACATGAAACACCACCATGCACCCAAATGCCCTCAGCATGTTCACCGCTGGAGCACTCCCATACCACTTGGCATATGGGATCCACTCCTTATCTCCAACTGTAGCCAGCACCCTATTCTTCACAAGGGCGACCTGCCTCAGTGCAGACACCCAAAACGGATCAGGCAGCCCTGCACGCCCAAGGAGAGTGCGTGCCCCCTCCTGCAGGGTCCTGTTGAACCTCTCAGCCACGCCATTCTGCTGCGGGTTGTAGGGCACTGTCAGTTGATGCTGGATCCCCTTCCTCTTCAACTCCCCCTCAAAATCAGCTCCAATGAACTCCCCACCATTGTCACTGCGGATCACCTTCACCTTGTGTCCGCATTCCCTCTGAGCTCTAGGCATCCACTCCTTAAGGACAGCCGCTGCCACCTCCCCCTTGCTGTTCAAAGGGTAAACCCACACTGCCCGAGTGTGGTCATCCACAATTGTCAAGAAATAGCGGCTGCCTGAGAGGGAAGGGGCTCTTGTGGGCCCCACCACATCCATATGCACAAGTGCAAGTGGGGTCTTGGCTGGTCCTGTAGTGCTGTTGAAGGGGAACTTGGAGAACTTGGTCTCCAAGCATGTAGGGCAGCTCCCAATCTCCTTCACTCCCCCTTTCACCTCCAAGCCCTTCAGGCTCCCATCCTTCACCAACTTCTGCAGCATAGGGAAGTTCACATGACACAGCCTCTCATGCCATGTCTCCCAATCGGCCTCTCCACTCCTTGGTGAAGCCTTAGCCCATGCCGCACTCGCATCCACACCAGCAAGCACCTCACCATGTGTCTGCTGCTTCTGCACTTTCTTGACTGCTTCCAGGACCCCATCAGTTGGTGCAGTTGCATCTCCTCCTGCTGTTGCCTTTGCCACTGCTGCCGTTGCTGCTGTTGGAGTCTTCCCATTCCAAGGGATGATGGGCAGCTGCCACAGGTCCTTGATGCAGCTGGTCTCCTCTTCCAGACTCCACAGCACCTTCTTCCCAAGCTTAGCACGGCAGCTGGTTGGTCCAAAGGTCACTTCGGCCTTACTCTTCTGCAGCCGCCGCACAGAGAGAAGGTTAGCAGACAAGCCTTTAACCAGCAGAACATTCCCAAGCCCCACAAGCTCCCCATTAGCTCCCTTAACCTTGGCATTCCCAACACCAATCACGGGGAGCAAAGCACCTGACGCTGCTGCCACATACTTAATCTTCCCAGGGGGTTTTACCTCATCAAGCAAATCTGCCCGTGGGGTCATGTGACTGGTGCAACCCGAATCAATCACCCAGTGCGTGAGAGGGTGCATCACAACCTTTCCCACAGATCCCACATCACCCTCATGCCCATGCACATCCTCAACCATAACAAACAAACCAGGATAGGCATTACCTTGTGCACCTTCACCTTGTGCACCTGAGCCTTGCACAGCGCCACCTTGTGCGCGTTCACCACTGGGCGGCTTCATGCCTGGAGGTGCCCATCCCTCCAGCCTGCTGAAGCACTTGAACCAAGGATGCCCTATCTTCTTGCAGTACCAGCAGGTGCCCTCCATTCTGGTACTCCCCCTGCCACTAGAGCTCCCATGCCCCTCATTATAGTCACCTCGGCCTCTACCTCTGCCAAAGCTCCTCCCACGGCCTCGGCCTCTCCAACCCCCTCTTCCTCTGCCGCGCCCTGCAGCTCCATACCCCTCAGCAGTCTTAGTGGCAGCACCGCCTCCCACATGGCGTCTGCGGAAGTCCTCCTGCAGAATCTGCTGCCTTAGCCACTCAGGTGTCCATTGATCTTGTTGAGAGTTGAGGGTGGGGATGAGGTTGTCCCAAGAGTTGTCCAACACCGAGATGATCTTGGTGCACTGCTGCAGCTGAGATACACTGCTGCCCGCTGCTGCCATCCTTGCATAGGTGTCCTTGATCTTGTCAAGGACCGGCTTCACATCGTCCCCTGGTCGCATGGAGATGGCAGCAAGTTCCTTCTCGAGCACGATCACCATCAGGAGAGTGTTGGGCTGAACCACATCACGTAGTAGTTTCCACGCCCTTGGACCCGAATCATCCGCTTCCACAAGATCCTTGATGTGCTCGAACATCTCCTTGTTGACCGATTGAAGAATGAGGTCGAAAAGCACCGCGCTTTTCTCAATCCACCGTTCACGTGCTTCGCCTTCTTCCGGCATCTTCTCTTCCCCAACAGCAATCTTCAGGAGCTTGTAGCGTTGAAGGCACTCCTCATCCGTCCGCTCCATTCCTCATAGTTGGAGCCATCCAAAGCTTCAACTTTTGATGGCGGCGGCTCACTTGTCTTCTCAGCTACAGCTCCTCTTCCATTAGCATCTCCTCCTCTCTCATTCATCTTCTCCTTGAGAAATGACGAATTTCAGCTCCCCTTTGCTGTCCACACTCAGCTCCCTCGATATTTTCACAAGTGTCGGCGTCCACGAAATTTCGGCAGAGTTTCCCCTTAGCGGAAGACACATCCAACCTTTAGAACACCACTTAGGCACACCCACAGGCCATGGTGGGTCTAGAAGGGTCTTCACACTTCTGTAGACTCCTCTCAATGTCCTTAATACACACCACACACAAATGCTTGCACATTCAAACCACACATGCAAGTTGAAAAAACATGGGATGGGAGGCAGACAGAATGTGATAGCATATGATGACATCACACAACAAATACGGGGGGGGCTTGGCTGACCTAGCCGCCCACATGCGCACGCTAGACTCGACTTGGCGCTCTGCCTGCACTGAGGCCCAGCTTCGCTTGTTCCAGCCCCCCTCTCTGCTACCCTCTACCTGCTTGCTACCCACCTCCCTGACCGCCTTGCTACTGCCCGTGATTACTTTCTCAGTCTCCACCCCGCTAACCTCCCCCTCACTGACTTTGTCGACACCCTGTCCGCCATAGAAACCCGCCAGCGCTCTATCGCTCAGTCTAGCGGTACTGTGCCGGTCACTATCTTTCAGGGCTGTGCACCAGATCAGTGTACTTTCTTTGACGGCTCTGCTGCTGTGGCTGAGACAGCTGTCACAGCGCAGTTTCGCCCGGGAAAGGGTCGCCGCCCAAGGCTGGGCGCGGCGGTGGTAGCGGAGGAGGCGGGGGTGGAGGAGGTGGTGGCGCCGAGTCGCCCGCAGGGGGTGCTGACGAGGGAGCTTGGCCAGGCACCGCCGAGCAGCAGCCCCAGCAGCAGCAGCAGGTTCCACCGTTGATCAGCAGCAGCCGCAGCAGCCACCGCAGTAGCAGCAGCAGCAGCCGGTGCAGCAGCAGCAGCAGCAGCAGCGGCGGGGTTGGTCGTCTCCCACCCGGGTGGCCTGGCGCTGGTGGTGACGGCGGTCGCGGTGGTCGTGCGCACAGCGTGACGTCGGGTGGTGTTTCGAGTGACGGGCGCTGCCAGTACCAGCTCCAGACCAGTCCTCACAGTGGCCTCGTGTGTGGTAAGATCGATCACACCCCCACCCGCCGTTTCAGTCGCCTGGACGACCTGTTTCGTCTCCGCTTCGGCCCGTCGCCCGGCCTCCTTGACTGGCTCAGCTTGCTCCGTCGTGGTGTTCAAATCTTTGATATGGACATGGATGAGATTAGTTCTGCGTTGTATGTGCTGTATGTCGATGAATCTAGTGTGATTGGTTCCACGTACCCCGTGTTACCTTGCGTAGGTGTGCCTAGCTCAGACTCCCCTACTGCGTCAGGCGTAGGATCCCCTGCTTTGTTTAGCCTAGGCTCCTCCCTCGCTTCGTCGGCTCCTGTCGCCACTGCCACGCTCTCCTTCACCCTTGACTCTGGCACTTCCCAGTGCTTCTTTCGAGACTCCACTACTCTCCCGCCGCAGTTTCTCTTGCTGACCCTTCCTCAGGCCCGGTCGTTGCCCGTAGCTCCACTACCCTTCCCTGTCCGGCGGCTCCTTCGGGTTCTCTTACAGGCCTGCACATCCCCTCATTCTCTAGGAACCTAGTTGGTGTCGACTGCCTCCAGGACCTTGGCGTCACCACTATGTTCCCTGGTCACGAGCGGTACGCTGTCTGTACCGAGGCCGCCACTGGTACTCCCCTCACCACGTTTCCCCGGGACCCGTGTCTGGCCTGTTCACGCTGGACAATGTGCCCCCCCGGTTGAAACGTCTCCCCAGGTAGATGTGTCTCCTCAGGTAGCGGCGGCTTGCTCGTGTCGGTCCGCTTACTCACCCAACGCTACTGTGGCACCACTGTCTAGTCACCCTGCCCTCCCTCGTCTTCGTCACATGTCCCATCGTGGCCTTGTTTTACTGTAGGTCTCCCTGAGTCGCTCCCCGCTCTCCCATCCTCACTTGCGCCGCCGTGCAACCCCTGTGTCGAGTGCCGGCTCCGTTGTGCCCCTCACTCCTCCTCGTTCCCCCCCACCACTGCACCCTTGCAGACCTTGCACATGGACGTCTGGGGCCCTGCCCCCGTCAATGGGCAGCGTTGTGAGCGTTACTTCCTCGTCCTTGTTGACGACCACACTCGTTACACCACCGTGTCTCCCCTGTAGCGGAAGGCCGACGTGCCTGACGTTCTTATCCCTTGGCTTGTCTCTGCGTGTGTGCATAGAGGTCTCCCTGTGTTGCGCATTCACTCTGACTATGGTGGCGAGTTCGCCTCTGGCTCCCTCGGTCGCTTCTGTCGTGCGGAGGGCATCACCCAGACGTACACCCGTCTGGACTCCCCACAACAGAATGGGGTCGCTGAGCGACGCATCGGTTTGGTCATGGAGGTGGCTCGTACCTCCTTGATCCACGCCGGTGCACCCCATTTTCTGTGGCCGTTCGCCGTCCGCTACGCCGCTCACCAGCTTAACCTGTGGCCGCACGCTCAGCGGTTGCAGGTTTTGCTGACCCTCCTCTAGACCCGGTCTCCTGGTGACGCGTCTGCGTTCCACGTCTGGGGCTGCCTTGCTCACAATCGTGCCTCTTGCATGGACAAGCTCACTGCCCGCATTGTCACCTGTGTCTTCCTAAGTTTCCCCCTCGACTCGTCTGACTGGCACTTTTACCACCCACCGTCTCACCGTTTCTTTCACTGTCGCGACGTTACCTTTGACGAGTCCGTCTCCTTCTACCACCGCTTTCCCCACCGTGGTCCCCTAGTAACTCCCCCCTGCTCCTAGTTCCCCCTCCCCCGGTCGCCCCTGCTTCCCCACCTCCCCGCCCTGCCCTGTCTGGTGTGTCTCACGTCACCCCCCTCTCGTCGCTTGTCCCGGTTGAGGAGTCTACTGACTCTATTGGCCCTGCGGCGCAGTCCTCGCCGGTTGCCCTCTCCCCAATGTCTCCTCCTCCGCAGTCGCAGCCGCAGCCATCGTCACACCCGCCCCAGCCGCAGCCGTCGTCATAGCCGCCGCAGCAGCAGACGCCGTTGTCGCTGCAGCAGCAGCGGTTCGTGCCCTCTGGGGGTGCTGACGTTGAGGAGGGTACTATTCCTGGGGTTCCTGTCGTGGCTTGTCCCAGCGGGCCTGGGGGTGGTGCCGATGCTGAGAGATTTTCTGGTTCTGAGGGTGTTCCTTCTGGGGTACTAGAGTGGAGTGTTCCGGAGGTAGCCATGGAGCAGCTTGCGGCCCAGGTGACGGCGTCGGGCAGCCGATGCGGCAGCAGTCGTCGTCGGTGTCTGCCCTTCACCTACTCAGCCTTCCCTCCCCTGGCCGCAAGTCTGCATCACTCCTACCATCCCCTCCTCTTCCTGTCTAACGTTCTCTCTTTCGGACTCATCTCCGGCTCGTCTTCCCCTCGTTCCCCTCCTGTGTCTCCTCTTCTGTCTCCTGACCCGACGCCTCCGTCTTGCGTCTGGTCCCGTCGTCCCCTCGTGCTCGTCCTGTCTCTCCTGTTCAGTGCTCTCACCCTATGTTGCTTCGTTCCCACGTGTCTCGTCCTCCTCTCCTACCGTCGCCTCCTCCGTCCTCGCTTGTTGTCGCACCTCCCCCTCAGTATGAGGACCAGCAGTATGAGCTTGCATTCCTGTCCGAGGCTGCTTCCCCATCTCTGTTCCACGCTACTAGTACGTGAGGGTGACCAAGACGCTTTCGACATCCCGACCCCTCAAAACTACGCTGAGGCCACCTCGAGACCCTGAGCCTCTGAGTGGATAACAGCCATGGAGCTGGAGATGGCATCTTGGAGATCCACCGGCGCCTACGTCGACGTAGTCCCCCACCTGGGGTGAACGTAGTCGATGGCCGCTGGCTCTTCAAGGTGAAGCGCCCCCCTGGAGAGCCACTTGTGTTCAAGGCACGCTACATGGCTAGAGGCTTCAGTCAGCGTGAGGGGGTGGACTTCTTTCAGACCTGCACCGACCCCGAAGATGACTACTCTTCGAGCGCTGCTACACGTAGCAGCACAGCGTGACTACGAGTTACACTCCCTCGACTTCTCCACTGCATTTCTTCAGGGCAGCCTACACAAGCAGTCTACCTGCGTCGCCCACAGGGCTTTACTGGTACCTTCCCTCCTGGGACCCAGTGGCTCCTGCGGCGCCCAGTCTACGGCCTGCGACAGGCGCCCCGTGAGTGGCACAACACATTGCGTGCTACCCTAGCTGACCTGCGGTTCTTTCCGTCCTCGTCAGACC